ACTTCCTAGAATTTACAGGATTTTCTGGTTGGACATCTTATAGTATGATTGAAGAATTCCTTGATCTCAGGAACTACCATTTAAATAAGTGCTTTTCTACATCATGCATTTACTTTTTGCTTGGTTCTTCTTACATTGTGTGCCTGCCTGATTTTCATAATTTGTCTTTTTGGTGCTGATTTTTAGACAATATTTGTATATACTATGTGTCGAATATGAAGTAGAATAAACTCAGGTTTTAACCTAGGTAGCTGATGCTACTGACAATCCAACTCGCAACACCTTTTAGTAACAACAAGAATAAAAGAAACAAACCTCAATTTCTCCTCCCCCATACAAAACCTGGCAAAAACCACAGGCACTATGAAGTTTGTGGTTTCCACAGGAAAGCATAAGTGTCTTTGGTGAGACTGAGCCACCAGCTAGCACTAACAAACAGCATTTGACCGTTCAGTAACATCAAAAGGAGAACTCTACTAATACGTGGTATTTCCTCTGCAATAAGATTACATCCTGCCTTTGCAGCAAAAGACACTCAGACAAACTTATTTTTCTCCTTTAACTTACAGTTCTAGCTGGCAAGAAGAAATATAATTAAGACTATGCAACTTAATTTTGTGTTCAGCTTTCAAGAAGCTTTTTTTCAGCTACTTGAAAAAAAAAAGCTGATATTTCCCTTGTGGAACACTGCTCATATTAGTGATCAAGCCAGGGCACTTGCTTCAGTGTCAAATGTGTGTCTCCCCTGACTGCACTTCAGTCAGTTGAGCCTAATTCCTACTGATTTGGAAATGGTTATCAAGTCCTTTATGTGCAGCTCCATCTCAAGGAAGCAAAGAGAAGTTACTCATCAACTCTTTCTGGTGAGAAAGATGATGCCCAGCTTTCATTCTCATACCACAGGAAACATTCATTATTGTTTTTGGGGGGTGGGGTATGATTTTGAGAGTGGTAAAGCTTTTAAACTGGATATTAATAATGCTCATAACAGAGTGAAGTAGATGGCTCTTTTATAAATTATTGCTCTGTATTAAAAAAAAAAATAAATTGAACCCAGATAAGCTTTAAAAATAAACCATCTGCCTTAAACCAGAGTTCTTTTGATGCTTGCCTGTGAACAACCAGGCACCAATATGAGACAGGAAACTCTGAGAAAGGAAGGAGAGGTGTGAAATGTCTGGGAGTCATTAAGCAGCGCAGCAGAAATGTAGTTACCAGTTGCCAGGAATAGTAAATCCTGCTTACACAAGACTCTCTTTTTCTTTTTTTTTTTTCCTGATTCAGCTGGGTCTCAAGGATTTTGGTTCTGTGAATCTGCATTCCTGCAGCAGCAGCAAAATGGGATGTTCCCAGGGTACCATCTTCCACTCCACTTCGGCCTAATTGCTGCACAGCACTGTCCAGCACAGGAAGATGCCACTTCTATTCCTTTTTGTCCCTGTAGGACATCCACAACACTACTCCATCCCCAGGTTGTCTGTCTGACCCCAAACATTGCATCCAGGACTTCCACCCTGGAACATCAAGAAATTAATTTTAGCCGCACCTTGATGTGAAGGCATACTTGGGATTTAGGGGCAAATAACAAAAACAAACAAAAAACCAACCAAACAAAACCCCCACAAAACACCCCAAACCCAAAAAATTAGAGTGCCAGAGAAGGTGTGGTTTGTTTTTTTTTTTCACAAAGGCCCCTAAAAGCACAATTAAAAGAATTCCACTGGGTTAGTAACCAGCGTGGAGAAAATCTGTCAGGTTTTGCTGCAGTGTGTGTCCCATGTAATGGAACCAGCAAGGGAGGAGTGGTCCAGCTGCCCAGACCTCTGCTGCTGCCTCACATTCCCAGACAGGGCTCATAAAGGATGCACATGCCTGTGTCAGCATGGAAACACAAACTGGGCGGTTCTGTGCTGGGGGAGGTGGTTTTTCACCGACTGGGAGAAAGTGGCAGTACAGAAAATAGGTGATGTGTGCAAGGTTTAGTGTGTGTGACTGGCCACACAACCATAGGTTGGCTCTAGTGTGTGGAACAGCAAGGAACCCTTTTCCATCTAGCTGTGTTATCTGCTCAGGACTTTTTTCCATGGATTGTGAGCCACCTCTTTTGGATGTATTACATCTGTAATCAGGATGGCAGAAGCTCTGTAGTGATTTGTAACTTGGGTATAAAGAGGAAAGTGCGGTTCAGTCTCAGACTGCAGGAGGATGATAGTTTTTTAACACAGTAAAATACACTGTGTTACAGTGCCCTTTGCTAACTTACCAAATGAGAGCCAGAGCCAGGAACAGGATTTGATCAGTAAGATGCAAGACCAGCAATCAGGAAAGTTCACAGGGTTTCAAAGTATTTGCACCTCTCTTGAAGCCAAGCAGCATCTCATCTTCACCTAACACCCATCTCAGGTGAAAGCCTTCCTTCATGACCATTAGAAGTTTAGACTAGATTTCATTTGGAATCAAGGGATTGTTAAAAATATTAAGGACCGTAACTACATAAGAAGTAGTGTAACACTTCCCTTTCCCTTCTTCCAATGTTGCTAATTTTAACTACTCAGTCAGAAATATTCTGTATCAAAATACTGCCTGAATCTGTACTAACTTGTATTTTTGCCAAAACTCTGCAAATGGTTTTGAAAAACAAAATAGAAAAGGAGCTACAGTTAGGGGCAATTAGGGCAAAAACATCTGCATCAGCCAGAAAGAAATAAACTGAAATTTCACACAAAATTGAGAGCAAAAGAGGTTATGAAGGTGGTGAGAATATGAGTTAGCAAATACCATATTCACAGTGGTACTATCGAGCTACACCTGGCAGATGGAAAGAAAACTTTGCTTTTGGACAGCCATGTCCAAAACCAAGGTAAGAGTAAGACTAAACAACGCCTAAAAAATGTTTCCTTGATGCAAATCTTGAAAATTCCAGACTTGGACAAAAGGCCCAAGTATGAACAGTCCTACAATACAACTGTCCTTGCCAGGCAAAAAGCTTGTGAGACTTTAACTCCAGGTGTTTAAAACCCAGCAGTCTCTTGAGGAATTGCAAAGCACAGCTTCAATCAATTGGCTCAGCGCTGCTGTCAGCAGAACCTGAGACTTGGTAACTTGGGCCTGAGGAGTGTTTGTGATCTCTGACAGGCTCCTCAGACTACCTAGCACAGCAACCCAAGGAAAGTCTTCTGTGTTTTAACAGCAAGATATTTAAAAATTAGGCCTCTGCATCATCAATAGTTACATGTACCTGCCCACTGCAGGAGGTGTGGAGTAGATGATTTTTAAGGTCACTTCTAACCCAGGCCAGCCTATGATTCTGTGATACAGAAACACACAGCTGCACCTGGCAGAACTCATTCTGTGCTTGACAATTCTTTACGTACCAGTTCAGCACAGAGGTACAGCTGGATCTGCTGAGCTCGTTACTTTTATAACTTACTGCTCACACATATCTCAAATTACAAGACCAGAAAATTCCAAGTAAGCATGAGAAGTTTTTTTCCTGTGAGTGTGGTATGGGCTGACAACAGCAGCACACACTTGGGTATGTATTCACCAACCTCAACTGCACTGGGATTCTGTGATTCCCTATTTCATGTTCTATTGAAAATTTATGGGATAATTTAAAAACAAGACTTTAGATGGCTTTTGCAGTAAGTAAATATATTGTCTCAAAGAGCACCTGCAAAAATGCCATCTTTGAATTCTCATCTTTATATTTAATGTTTTAAAATTGATACACCTCAGCTCTTACCTGACAAGTATGACAAGTCATACTCTTGTCACAGAGTTCTACCTTTGCAACATTAGCTGTAGATGAAGACACCTGGGGGACACACATCGTGCACCCACATCATATGGCACTCACTTCTCTTCTCCATGTAATCCTAATTTAACAACTGGCTTCAATGGGACCTGACAACAGATACAGACCTTGTAATCTATCAAGACATGGCTGAATAAACGTGAAAGCACAGAAGTGCTTTTTAAAATAAAGCTCTAAGTTCTCCCTTTGAATTTGAAGTACAATGTCTTCCAAGGTATTCTTAGGTGAAAATGTGTGAAGAGCAAGCAAATGAAAACCAAATGTACACAGATTTAAAAAATCTTACCTTATGAACAGAGTATAAATCTTATCATGCTAAAATTATGTACCTAACATTACACCCTCATATGCCAACTTGTACTCAGAGCAAGCTCTCTAGAGATCAGTTTACAGCCATGAAAGTAAGATGGCAGCGCTTATTCTGAACGGCTTTGATTTATCTGAAGTACAAGAAAGCATGTGGAGCAAACCTGGCAAATACTTAAGATCCCCAAACCCAAGTGCTACAGCAAATAAGCCTTGCTGTCTCGTGCCAGTACAATGGCAATGGCACGTGCTCCTCTGGCGCTACACCAGCAAATTAAAGCATCTGAAAACAGGGCCCAGGTGCAGCTGTCCAAGCACAAGCAGGGGGTTAATGTGCATGCCAGAGCAGCCCATCCAAGGTGACACTCAGCTTTCACTAATGGTCTTTTTTTAAAATTTTTTTCTTTTTTTTTTTTTTTTTCTCCAGAAGGCACTGAGGAGTTTTGCTGTCTGCAAAAGGACTGGTCAATTTTCCCCCATCCTTCTCTCAATCTGAATACACTGTGAACATCTTGTGCCTAGTGAACCATGTAGAGTGTAAAGGCTATTTCAAACACTGACTTCTCTGCAGTGAGTAGCATTTCGCTTAAAAATGCTTGAATGAGACTATAATTTTTTTTTATTTACAGACAGGCAATATTTTAACCCAGTATTTTTTAAACTGAAGGCTGATGCAACTTGTCATACACCAAATATCCAGTTTGTGTTTCTGTAATTTAGTCAAGGACAACTTGGGCTGTTCCCATCTGTTTTCATATACTGACAAAAAGAAATTCCACAGCAGCACTGAGAAAAATTATGGGAATTGTGGCTTATATAATATATTTAACGCTTTCTCAACTTGCCACTAAAATAATAACATCTAAACAAAATACTGAGATACAATGTAATATGTTTCTTTATTTTTTTTAAATCCAATTTGAAAAGGTCCCTTTTTAAACAAAACAAGAACAAAAAAATCAATACAATTCAGAGGGCTTATCTCATTTACCATATTCTTCCCCACTCTTCACTTATAACACAAGCAGCAACTTATAATATTAGTGCTCATATAGTGCACTTATATGAATTTTGATTTGTGTATTAAGCATTAAATACAATGTATTTTCCGTGAGCATAGCCCAAAGAGTACACAACGTTACATTTTCAAAGCCTATGTTAAAAAAAAAAAAAAAAAGACAATAAATGTATATCCAAGACAGTCAAACTCAAAATTTTTTGACTTGGCAAATTCTATAACGAGTAACAGCAATTTTAAACTGCATACAAAGCAGAACAGTGCCAACATGCCCCCAGTCTGTGAGCTATGGTAAAACATCAAGCACACATACAAAGGAGAGAAGCCAAAGAAACCCACCACAGAGCTAACCTGAGGCACACCCAACTGCGACCAAACAAAGGCAGCCCACTTCCCCACTCTGTAATGCAAAGAGCCCAACAACAACAAAAAGCACTTCTATGCTACAGAAAGTGAAACAGCAACTCCTTCCAAATTTGTCTCCTCACTTTTAAACAACTTGCTCGAAAAATTTAAAGATGAACATCTAACTATACCAAACAAATGTACAAACTATAAAGTCAGAGAAGCTCCAGAAGATTGCCACTTTCAACCTTGCATAGTGAGAGCTGGCATTGATATTGCTACCACAGCTTCAGCAGAAGATACGGGAAAGAAAAACCTTTATCTCTAAGTGATGCACATATGTAACATTTTCTTCACAAAATTCAGTTAAACATTGTTTTAATAAAAGGGAAAACAGCTCTAAAAAGGGAAAGATAGTGTTCACAAGCTTAGAAAAAAAATACAAAACCAGAACATTCCATAATAAAAAAATTAAAACAATAAACATTCCATCATGACAGCACCTATTTTATCACTAAATAAGCCCCATACATGCAACAAACTACAACTATTGTATAAGGCCGTCAAATTAAAGGTTTACTTTTCATATAAACAAAGTGTAAAAATAGCAACAAGTTGCGATCTTCAAATTTAATGCTATGTGAGGATTCTGTCCCCCCAGTTTCATTTGGTAGCAATTTCAATATGCATTTGATATAAATGTCATTCATCTAGGAACCGTGGTACAAATACATTGTGCCTAGGACAGTATTGTCGTATCTCTGTTCGACCTTGACAGAATTGGAATGCTCAACAACACTACTGAGTTCAGGGATGCTTTCAGCAGTATCCCCAAAACCATGATAGTGTCCATAGTGCAAAGTGTCTCCAGGGTCTTCCACCCATGAGGGCCGGTTGGAAACACAGCTACTCGGGCTTCCGTTCAGGTGGAGAGATCCACACATATCGGTGGAATTACTCATGGCTTTTTCCGGCTCCTCGGTGCCGTTAGTGGCATGAATTCGATGCCTACTGGGAGAAGTTACTCCAGGAATTGCTCCGTTAGGTGTTAATGCTAAGCACTCCTCACGCCTGGCATCCATCCCACTGAGCTGTTGTGCGGCGGTGAAATCCAAATGTCCATTGATGGCACATCCATTTGTCAGTGCATTCAATATGGAGCTACTGCTATTCATATCTGCATTAAGAAATACACCTGTCACCAACAATTAAGAATAAATCGAAATACATCAAAACGCCTCCACTATACTTAACTTACTTAAAAATGTTTCCATACACAGCTTTGAAAATAAATCTATCCTTCCTTTATAACAATGTAGGTAGTTCCAAGTAATGAGATCTGACCAGTAGGTTCGTGGCATGGATTCTTATGTCGAAAATGCAAGTATCTATCCACATTTGCTTGGAAAATATGCCTATATTAATCTTTGCAAAGACAATGTGAACGTTTCAATTTCTTTTTTTTTTTTTTTTTCATTTAACTGTATGAATTAAGTGCAACAGACAACATTCTGGGCAGTTTTGAAGGGTGGAATAAAAGTGATCTTTCCACCTTAACTGTAATGCCCTCTTGGGATGGAAGATTACATATATACAAAAAATGAGTATCTGTGAGAGGGTGAAGGGTGTTTTTTTTTAATTTTTCAGTTGTAATTTAACAGTGGCTTTCTTTTTCTTTTTAGTTATAACTCTCACAACACAGAACACACTGAAGTAAGTCAAATAAAGAAATGTTACATTGGGGGGCTAATATAAAAAGTTTCCATGTTCCTTTATTCAGAAAGTATTCCAATGTACCTAGCAGCTTGCTAGATAACATACTGGGCAGGTTTCTATTTAATGCTATGTTTATAATAGCATGTGTACAACCCACATGCAAAATGCCATACAATAGCAACAGCAGAATGCACAGAAGACTAAAGAATAGTAGTAGGAAACAAAATTCCAAAAATGTGCATGCAAAAATTACTGACAACTGTTCCGAAGCAATTTCCCCTTTGAAGCTAGTAATTAGTACAGTAGGTTTTGTTTCCATGAACAGATTTCATCAGCCTGTCTGAAATGCATGTTTTTGCAGTGGTACTCAAAAGTACTAGCACAAAAAATGCATGATATATTCTGCCTTTAAAATATAATTTATGTCTATATTGGTAAAGATGAGCAAGGCAAACATAGCAACTACAGAGCTATGTGGTGACATTTAAAGATTTTACATTCTGTGATTATCCTTGGATGCATGCACATGTGTTTATGTCTCCATGAATGCATAAACCCATGTGCAAAACAGGATTGCATTTACTGCATGTATGCAAATTAATTCAGTTAATTTAGTCTGTTGGCAACTTCCCACATTTGTAAAACACTGGGTTCCCATTTAAGTGACAGATAATGAGTACCACTGTCTGACAAGGAAGAATCTGGAGTTTTGGTTCTCTCTCAGTTGTTTGCATGGCTGTTATTTGAAGTATGAATTACAACACTGATACTTTACAGACACCATGTAAGTTACACAAGAAATGTGTCCAATTTGCAACTCCCTGGATGTACTAACTGGAGTTTCCTGTTTAGTCTTGACATCAGTTAAAATAACCACATCAGCCAAACTCACTAACCATGAATTCTCATTAGAAGTGGAAAAAACCCCCACAAACCCATCAAGACATCAAAGTTAGTACTTCAGTGATGAAAACGCACAGAAGGAGTTTCATATAGTGTTTATTAACTGAAAAGTGCAAAATTTTAACTGTTTCAGAAGAAACCATTATAGGCTGGTTTTGCCAAATCAAATTTAATAAATCTGGCACTTCTATTAGTTAATATGCAAAAGTAGGTAATGAATAGTTCTAGTGATAATTATAGAATGTTATTATCGGTTAAAAATGAGCACCTATAGTAATACAGTAATAGAGTATATTTATGAAAGAAACTAATGTTTACATAAATAAGAACACTTAGTAATTATCACTGGAAAATATAGTCTACTTTTAAAGTATTGACTATATATATATATATATATTTATTCCTAATATATTAAAATATCTATTATTTATCATTCCCTTTGTTGAATTGGATCTGTGGTACAACGCACAAACATATTTTTGGCAGAAAAAACTGATAAATAGGAAATTAATTTCTGAATGCAATAATGCACTATTGTAGTTAACTCCATGTCTTAACCTACAAAGTGCAAAAAAGGCTGACCCAAGGCAGTTTTAATCAAACTCTAAACACATCCTGTTACCACAAGCATCTTGATTAAGCAGCCCTTAAAAGAATCTAGAGCATTAATACTGACCAGTCCTAGTAACATTTTGATTGTTTCATGATGATTGGTACAAAAAACAAAATCTGTTTTCCCAGGTCGACTAGTTCCAAATAGTAGATTAAACCTGTGATGTCTGGTCTTCTATTTACATAAGAAACCCCACAGCAGGATCCTGCACTTATGCCATTGTGTCTGAGCAAGTTCTGAACACAGGGTGTATGTCTAGACTATTCTCTATAATATTTATTGTACTATTTTGAATATAGTTTTGTCACAACATGTTATTTTCAAAGCTAGGATATGTTTCCCTATCAAGTCTTATTACTATATACTCAATCAAAATTAAACAAGTAATTTAACTTATTTCTGAATTTCCTTTAACTCAAAATTTTAGCAACTAGAAGCAAGGCACAACGTAATACAAGCCTCAGGTTAAAAGTGAAACAGCCATCGTGGACTTCTGTTTACCTGAAATATTAAGAAATTACTGATAAACCTTCTCTTTCACCATTACAATACATTGCATGAAACAGCTAATTTTTGATACCTACTAAACCCCCAATATAATGGGTGTTACAGCAATACAATAGTTTTCAAGACTCCAGACAACAATGTGCAAAAATAAAGGACTAAGTTTTATACTTAAATTAAAAATAAAAAGCATATTGATTCTTGCAACGACAAGGAGTTTGCATTGCAGAAACAGTGTATATTTCAATTTCTTTTGGTCCAACAGAAGTACTCTCCTGTTGTTTGGTGTCTTCAACCATTTGAATGTTGTTGTAGCTAACAGCAAACTGTCCACTCCCACCTGATACAACAGCAAACTCTCTATCAACGTGCATATTGTCAGCATCGTCCTCAGCTCCTCCATTCATCATTGGTATTAAGCCATCAAAGCTGTAAGCTGACAAAAAAAAGTCATGTTTAGTCATTAGTGCCCACTTGAAAACTCAGCCAACAAAAAGACGAGAACTTTTGATTATTAAAGCAAAACAGAATTACCAGGGTACCTATTAGACTTTGCACTTACATATTAAAGTTACTAGTCTGATGTACAAAAAGTTGGAGAGAAATTTAAGCTACTTCTATCTAGGCTTTACAGGAGATGTGCCCAAAACGTATTTGTCTATTGTCAGTTTAGACTGCTCCCTTTTTCACTCCCAAGGGCCAGGTCCCAGTAATCCACCCATATCCACACCAACTGCTCCAGGGATCTCTTCAAGAGCTGAATAAGCAGAACTGTCTTCTGACAGAAGCTGCCAAGTGGTTAGACTGCTGGGGGGAATGCTTTAATAAGCAAGAGGAGCTTGACTTCACTACTACTTCTTGTACCAAAGTACCAGATCACTGCTCCACTACTATTCCAGCAGGCCCTGCCCTGCTCAAACACTGACATTAACACACTTTTCTACACTCACTCCACACACTCTTAATATTATGTTATAAATGCCTGTTTTGGCAGATTTCAGTTCAGCTTCCATTACCTTGGGCACAACCAAAATTTTCATAAACCACTCGTTTTTAAAGGAGCTTATGCCCTGAAATGTTCCAGGGCCAAGCAGACCACTGAGGGCTTAAATGACATCATGGCCCTTGGATCAGAAGGCTTCAAATTACTCTAAATCAGGATGGAACTTTTTAAAATCATCTTGAGTAATATCTAGGTGCAGTTTCATGTTGGCCAATTCCAGGGTCCAGTTTCAGGAATGGCCTCCATCATACCTCACACAGAACACCTAAAGCATGTGCTGAGACTCGTGACACCAAGACACTGGTTGTAAGCAGCACACCCATCACAGAGCACAAGGCAACCTGCTGAGGGCTGGACTACAGGGGCCAGGATGATGACTGACATGAACACAGCTGTGTGACCAGTTGGCCCAGTGTGCATCATCAGCATCTTTGAACCTGTGCACCATCCTCTGCTGACCTTCCCATGAAGCAGGATGAAATTCCTAGAACTGATTCCAGAAAAATGGACATAAAATCCAGTTTTATGTTTCTAAGTAAAAATTAGAAATTATTTGGCATATATTCTGAAAGTGGTCACCAATTTACTTATGTTAATTACCCTTGAGTAATTAGTTTCTATCACAGTGTTATCATGTATCAGCATTACCTAATTTTGACATTTAAGGCTTTAATACTATGTACCTGCTAGCAGATACACCTGTGTGCATATACACAATTACAAGTAAACCCCATCCACTGCCCAGTTTAGTTATTCCAGGGCAAAGCACACCTTAAGCATTTATCTTCTCTCAACTCCACTGCTCACAGGTTCTTTTAAGGGACATACGCTGTCTCAGCAAGTAGTTTCAAAGCAGTGATTGTTCAAATTTGTGGTATGGCCATCAAAACATGACTTTTCCCTGAAAATACAGGCTGGCTTCACTCTCTGAACATCTGGAATCTGCTGTGCAAATAGTCTTTAAAGGACAACAGACCAGTGTGATTTTAGTAAGGATTTAAAATTAACACAAAATTGGGCTTGTTCTGTAAAAAAGCCAGCTAAGCACAAAGATGTACTGATAACTCATTGCTCAGCTCTGTTGTTTACCAAAATGCCTCAGGAACACTGACTCATTCCCAGTGCAAGAGACTTTTTACATCGATGCAATAGTTATTACTGATGCTTGATGTCTTTGAGGGCAAACATGTCAGATTAGAAACTGCAGCTCCCACAGCTGCAATGCATCTCTTAGTTACTCCAAAAACCTTCAAGCAAAAGCACCAAAGCTTTTCCATTTGTTTGTGAAGGTCTTAAAAATTCATATTGTTCATAGTTTAAAAAATTACTCGGATTGCCTTTCCAACATTTCTGTAATTGCTCAGGAGCACCTGTTCACTTCAAGCACTGTGTTTATTTGCTCAATCTAACTTAGATACTGGACCAACTCTGTACAGTGAAAGGTAATGCAGATACAATGCCATTCCCCCACATTGTGGGGAAATGCTGCCTATTGACTAGTCTGGGGCATATTCTGAAAGAGACAGCTGCTTAGGAACACTCAGATAGAGCAGCTCTTCAAAATGCAAGGTAAGTTGACTTCAAGCAGAGCCTGTTGGTAGCAGATCAATGAACTGAAAACATCTTTCTGCAGTTGTTATAGACACTTGTGTACTGAGCAAGTTTTCCTATTCTATTTAGCTACTTAGGAAATATTTATTTCTGAAGTCTTTTATTTAATTGCACAGCAACTCCTCTCCATAATGAAATTTATCATTTAGACCAGCTATGTGAAGCAACATATTCTGTTTATGATTGGCCATGAAGTATCCAGTTAAAGTCTCTGATCCTGGTATGTATAGGTGGTGTTTGGACAGCAAGTACTGAACAAATTGTAGTGTTGATATTGATGTGATTTATGTTTCCTATGTCATATTTAGAAACATGATTTAGGTCTCCATTCCACCCTTGCTATCTGGAATTAAGCAATGTTTAAGCCCTTTCTCTTTGGCTCACTGAAAGTCACTTACATTAGAACATGAACTTAAACTGAATAAAGCGTTTTCAATGAAGAATGAAGCCCTTTTCCTGACACTAAAGAAAAACATCCTTTAGCATCACAAGGAAAAAGGAGGTTTAAGTGCAGAATTACTCCCTTGTTTTCAGTAAGAATTTAGTGGGATGACCAATAGAATGGAAGAGGCAATTGTCCTCAATCATGTTACTCAAAGTGTTTCTAAAAATAGATTTCTACACAGAGCTACCAAAAAATATCTTTAGGTTGTACTATTCTATCATTGCTGTCAAAGCAGCAGTACCCTCAACATACAAGGCTGGATAGGAAACCTTAAGATTCATTCTGGTCTTACACCCCTGTGTAAGATAGCAGTTTCCCCTGGAAACTTAGGAAACTTGTTAATTTACAGACATAACCCCTCTTGATTTGCGAAAGCCTTCAGCATTCAATTTCTTCCATCCACCTTAAGCAGCAGTTTTTGAACTGTGAATTAATCCCTGAATGGAAAATTACCCTGAGAACATCCAGCCATCTCTGTGAATCAATGGGATGTCACTTGGTCCTCCTGAAGCTGAAGAAACTGAGGATGGAGTAGAAGCTAATTTAGCTCCTACTCCTCTGCATAATTTTTCTCAGCATCATGAAGCTTTAGCACCCTCTGGAAATAGAAATTTCTGAACACGCCAAGATGAAGTTATAGGAGGAACTGGGATCTTGTGGTATGGAATAACTATTAATATGCTTCCTGTATTAGTATGTAATTTAGATATGTGAGTTTGTCAATAATACTCAACATCCAAAAGACTTTAAAATGTTTATTTTCTTCTCTCAGCAACAGTATCAACCCATCCCTTTTACCTCTGGGGTCTCACCTTCTGTTCTAGCCTTCTTTACTCCAGCAGACTCCGTATCTTCAAAGGATCTCTTTCGACTTGTCCCACCACTGAATGGATTGGGACCTGCACTCTGATGAACCCCATTTAAGGTGCCATTGCTATAGAAACGATTCAGGTGACAGTTCTGGAGGTTCAAGAGAAACTGGGCACATTCTTGGAAGCCCTGGGTATGTGCAAGGTCTGCTGCTGTCAGGCCACTGGCATTTCTCAAGCTGTACAATACAAAGAAACTGGATTACACTCATTCATCAGGCCAGCTGGCTGCTGCTGCTGCCCTTACTGACTATCTATCTGCTGGTGATGAGAGAAAACATACACTTAGCAAATTTTCAATTAAGAAATTAGTTATCAATCTTAGTTTTATAACTATCTTATCTCTTTGCACATATATCTCACTTCTAAGCAAAATTTGGGAGACAATACACTTTTAAATAAAATCAATATACTCTGTGCCTTAAACCATCTTCCTATTTAAACTTCTCAAAATGCTTTATTCTAAAAGTCTGAAGTAGCTGATCTTTACATTAACTTCAGACTAATTTAAGTGCTGTATTTTATCATCTTCTGCAGTTTATTCTGCAATCTATTGCTTTAACTTGAGCAAAAAATCAAATACTCAAAACAAACTTAACATGACTTGGCAATTGTCCATGGCATTCTGGTTTCTAAGGTAACAACAACATCACTATTTTTCCTAACAACAAAATATATACATATATAGTAAAAGGTAGAAAAAGATGCTATACTTAGTTATGCTTTGCTTATACTTTTGTTTCTGGTTTGTTTCTCATTTCAAAGTGTGTGACATCATAAGTACTGGGACTTGCTTTGGTAATTTCAACCAAGACTTTTCTGTGCACAAGAGAATGACACTGGATTTTTCATATTCTAGCACATCAAGGAGGTTGGGAAGGAAACCCGGGAGGATATGCAGAGGTTTAATTTGAAAAAGTGCTGTATCACATGCATTTGCACAAATACACAGGATGTCTTGTGCTCAGCAATTTAGGATAACTTCACGAGGAAGAGCATGAAAGTGGAGATAAGAAGGCCAGGAGTGACAAAAATAGATGATGATGCAAAAGATACCAATTAATCTTTCCTAATATTTTTCCAGACAGATGTAATTAGTCAGAAAAATAGAATTTTTGTTTCTTGGATTCAGTCATTTAGACGAGTCCATTACTTAAAAATCTAGAAACAGACCAGCTAACAGAGTAAGAATTCAGAAGATTAATAGACCTGATTCTCTTGAAACTCCAGCTCATGAGACGAATATAAAGAACAAAGTCCAGATTTGCTTCTTAGATCACTGTAATTTACTTGATATAAGAAAACCTTTAGAAACTATTACAGCAAGACTATTTCCATAAATGGATAAGTCAAAATACTACAGGATCACAAAACCCATAACCTAAACCAGGGTTGATTTAATTCCATACTACACTATTTTAAGTCATTATTTACTTGGACTACTAGTGAAAATTCACAGAACAGCAGTCAAGAATGCTCTAGAAAGTAAGACTTCAGAATACTGAAAAACCGAGTTAGTAAAAAGAAACGAAACTTCGAGGTGGTATTAGTTTTGAATACCTACAAGTGAGCTGCTAAGTGAAGAATCTGTTCTGTGCATCCAGTGTAGGCAGTATATGAATGTGATTATATGAACAAAGGATAATTAAAGCTAGCATCAGGATTAAGTTTTAGCATATAAAGGCTGCTGAATCTTGAGATAGTTCTTTTCCCCTCATTTTAAGAGGTACCCATGATATCAGACATTCTTCTATCAATCCCTGCTGCACTAGATGACCTGTTTAAGCTGCTGCTAAGCAAGCAATTTGACACTTCTTTAGTAATTCTGATTTACTTGTGTAGCATAAGGATGTAGAATGATGAAACTACAGCTTAGGAAAGAGAAATTTTAACAAATCTGTTCTGTTCAAGAAGAAAACTCAGTTCTCTTGATACCTTCTTTAAATTTCCAAGCCCCAAAAGAACAGTAAAAGAAATCTAAGCAAGAGCAAAATAAATGAAGTTATAGAAAGATAAAAATGACAAAATCAATGGGGTACCGAATGGCCACCTAATTTAACAGAATTCAACGAATCAGTAATTCTATTTCTTAGCAAGTACTACTGAACACTAAGTGCTTTCCAAAATCGACTGTAAGAGACTGCAATTAAGTCACCATTTTCCAAAGGATCATCAATGTAAGATGCAAGAGGCATTTGGAGATTTATAAACTCAGATCAAAATGTGTAAAGCTACACAACTGAATTTTCTGGGAAAGAAAAATTACATTTCCCAGAAACAAAATAAATAGGAGTTAGAATTTGCAAAATTTTAAAAGGTAATGACTTTTGATATTTAAAGATCTATCCCATTCCTACCTCTTCCTGAACAAATCAAATTCTTTTTTAAAAAAACAAATCAGGTAGACAAAGATGTGCTTGTTTTACAGAAATATTCTGGAAGCACTGCATAGGTTTTCAAGGGACTCAAGCCTATTGGATTTAAGATTCTTGCTTCTGAAGTTTAGAAACACCTCTCCTTAAGGGTGTGAATCTGAATTTAGCCTATCAAGTTAGTAATGAAAAGAAAAAAAAAAGTTCAACGAAATAAGAGATTTTAAGTTCTGGATGACTAGAAACTGTTTGAACAAATGTCATGGAAGATTAACACAGCTGTTCTCTCTGCTCACTTACTGTAGGAACACTAATTTGAGTATCTTTTCTATATCCAGTTGTCCATGTCCATGATTTTAATCAAGGCCTGACTATTCCTGGACTTTCATATACTTTCAAATTTCTATTACACTGGCTTGCATTCTAGCATTAACAGGAAGGAGAAAAGGAAAAGCTGACAAATTCTGCAGAAACCTTGTCACTTTCTCAGAAACACGCTAGAAAGATAAAAAAGACCTACTTTTTCAGCAAATTTCTCTAGCCTTCTCTAGGTGGAAAAAAATCTGTCAGTGGGAACACAAAAGGCAGCAAAAGCTAGCTGTGCTTTATTAGCCTACCAGAACAAAATCCAAGAAATAAAAAATAAAGTGCTAATATAAGTATGAACAAAACCAGAAAGAAAATGCTCTTAACAGATATAATGGAAATTTAGCAAACTGGAAGAGCTTATGTAGTTTCAAAATTATTTAGAAATATTGTCAATTGCTGTAAGGATTCTGAGTCTGTAACAGAAAACCAGTGTAACACAGTCCTTCCAGAAACCCTGGAGTACTTGAATGAATTAAAAAGCTAGATATCTACTAGAGAATTATTTAAAAGCGTTAATCTGAACTCAGAGTGGAGCTGTCCTGTTAAAGTTGTAATTACAAGGAACAAGGAACACATCTAATACTAAATCTGCTGCCCATGTCTGACAGTGAAGTGTCTGCCTCAGCTTATCCCAGGAGCTAAGAATTCAAGTGTCATTACTGTAGACAGACTAGATTATACAAATGAAAATAGAAATGATTCACTGTCCAAACCACACGTAAGAGCAGTTCAGCCTCTTATGTGCAATCCCTATGGCAGCCCTTTGTTATGAACTCAAATTATATGAACTTATGAACTTAATGTTATGAACTCAAATTATGAACTGACTACCAAGTGAAAAGGAGGAAGAATAGTATGTGATTAATTTGACTACAAAATGTAGCCATGTGACAAGGAACGTGTGGCTAAAAAACTGGAAGAAAAATCAACAAGCAGAAAATTCTGCTGACATAAAGATATAAAGAAGAAGGATTGGTAAAGGATATTATAACTGAAAGTAACTTCAAGACCTAGGTCGTGAAAGAAAAACACTGATAAAAAAAGTAAAGCAGTGGACAACATGGACAGAACTACCTCAATGTCATGGGTCTTGAAAAAAACCATAAATCTTCTTTTCCACCCATCTCCTGCTTTTTTTAGTAAGTTAAAAATCCCTTTGGTACCAGCTTTGATCTTTTATCCTGAACACCTTGAAAGAGTAGAAACTCCAAGAAGCTTGGAACACACTAATAATTAAATCTTCGTGCAAATGGTCCTTTTGTTCCTGTTAATCATACAGCAAATATGACAGGTCTATTTCTGCAACTACATTACTCAGAATTGAAAAAATGAGTACAGAAATTTCTAGCAGTACATTTTGTTTTGTAGGGGTATTTGTTTTTATTGGCATTTTTTTCTTTTTAAAAAAATTCTTTTGTGACAAGATGCCAAACTTAAGGTCAAGCTTATGTTTCTTTTCAAGGTTCATCTTTAGGCTAGGCTTATAGCTGAAACAAGACAAACAGCAGGTTCCAAACACTGCATTTTTCAAATGAATTCATTATGAAGGAAGAAGCCAGCAGCAAGGAAGGCATGGAGGGATAGAAGGAAGACCTAAGTCAGAAAATCAGAGTAAGTTTTGGAATGTGACATGTGTTTTACATTAAGCCAGCCTTTACGAAACAGTATTCATTGACTTGGTGCAGTATTTTCTAAAGGTTGGCCTAGTTACCATCAAATCAGAGAGCAGTGCTCCAAAAACGTAACTCCTTCTCTCTTCAGCAAAAAAGAAAAAAAGTCAAAAACTAAAGACAACACTGAAGGTGAATCTAGCTACAGGAACAGGTGGAAAAACTGAAGAAAGGACACTGAAAACAAAAGCTCGGAAAATAGAATTCCTTTTTTGGCACCTGCTCTAGACAGGAACATACATGAAGGCATGAACTGACAAACAGGAGAAAAATTCTTTCCTTAACATTGCCCAGGGCTAAAGGCAGTCATTAGAAAGTCAATTCGCTCCATATTTAGAAAACACATATCTTGCATCATTTCCGAGGCAATTCAAGTATCTGAAAAATGACTGAGTCCTGTTCAGTTTTTTTCACTTAGTAGTAATTTTTTTGCTATATACTTTATTCACTGTTTCCATGTAATTCTTATTACTAGAAACAAATTAAAATAATGAAGTATGGTATTATTTACCCTCAGCCATCTTGTAGGCTAAAATCCAGGAGCTGGGAATAAAAACATCTCATTTTTTTTCAAAATACAGACGTAGAAGATACTAACTCCAATGTAATAGAAGAAAGCCGAATGTATGGAAAGATACATTTTCATATTATAAAGTCATTCTAAATAGAAAAAAATTTGTGAGAAAAGACATTGAAAGTCTGAATATGGATGAGTAGGTGATATTGAAGTTTCTTGATATATGACACTTGCATTCTTCTGTAGTGACA